GTGTTAAGAAAGGCAGAGGTAGACCTAGGAAGACTTGGGCTTATTGTATTAAAAATGATCTTAATTTACTAGAACTACATGAAAATATGACACTAAATAGGACGCAATGGAGAAAAATGATTCATGTAGCCGACCCCACGTAGTTGGATTAAGGCTTTGTTGTTGTTGTTGTTGTTGAAAACAAAGGAAACAAAAACTAAATTGTAGTAATAACACAACAATATAATTTTCAAGTCTAAATTCTAACAGTTCGATTAAAATTTTCCTAAATTTAGAAATTCAACATCATTCCCCAACAATGGCGCAAAAACACTTGAAAAGGACCAAATGTCGCAAAGCACTTGCGAATCACACAAGTTATGTGCCGTCCAAGTAGTCTACAGAATACAGTCCGTATATTAATCCCATAAATAACGAGTAGATTTTGAAGGCAAAAATTTCTAGCCTACTGGTGTCAAGTTTAGCATAAAGGTTCGCTTGTCGTTGATTTTATGAAAATTTCTAACTTCATTTTGCGAGAACAAAAATCCTAATTTAAAGTTGCCAGTTGACTAAAGCAAGTGGAGGTTTCTCCACAAATTTGAATCTAAGAAGCCTAGGGTTGACAAAGTGACACAAATGTAGGCGACTATCAAAAGCAATAATCTTTCTTAGCTGCTCCTGATGGAAATAAGAAAGATAGGATAATCAACCAGTTTAGTTCACTAAATCTGGTGGAATACTAAAAATTAAATATTTCCACAAATGAAAGCACAATACTACAAGCAATATTCCTATGCTCCTAGCTTGATGAACTTTATCCTAGATGTCCAATATGGATTCTTCTGAATCTCAAAGTTCACAATGTGTTCTAACTATTCAATTAGTCAGATTAAATGTAAATGAAGTTTTGAAGGATGAGAGTTGAACAAACTCATTTAGATATACTCTAAAAGCAAAAAGATAAATAAAGAGTTCCATCGACCACGCGATTCCCGTACGACGAGTGAAGATCACAAAGGCCATCACAACTACAATAGAATTCTACATCACCTATGCTGGGATGACAATGAAAAAGTCAAAAAATCCGCCCAACTCCCTGTACACGAGAAGTATTTACTCTTTCAATGTTGATCCTTCCAAACTACTAACTCATTCGCCTTGAAGGTATTTACTCTTTCATCTTGACTGGCAGAACGGAAGCAAATAGAATGATTGAAGACACGAATCTTATGATACTTAGTATACCCGTCCTTGGTCATTCTCGACGAATCGAAAAATCTAGTAGTTGGAAAGTCCATTGAATTCCAGCAAAAAGGAGCCATGTCACAATACCCGAGAGACTTAGGTTATTCCAAATTCTCTGGCTCATAACTTCAATTTTGTTTAGTTATTTCTCATACTTGGAAATATTAATATAAGTTGCAAATTTGTAAAACTAAACAAGTAATCTAAATTATTCCAGATTCGCTGGCTCATTTTATATATTTTGCAACAATGAAATTTTAATATTATGCGACTCAATTAGAATGCCAAGTTTCAAAACTCAGACAAGGAGCCTTCAGTTAGTAGAATTGATTGCACACAGTGGAACAAGAGAGTAATCGTGAAGCAATCCATATTGGGTCCAAAAATAAATAAAAATAACGGGACAGAAAGAGATGAGCATAAAAGCTGAAGCTCTCACCCCGTCTTCTCCAAAAATGTAAGCATGAATTCTTGCAGTAGGATCTTCAATCGTTAGTCTAACCCGATAGTTCCCAGTTGCAGGACTACGAAGGTCCTTTGCTTGCCAGGGATATGACGTCACCACACGTACAATACTTGTAAACTTATGCATTATCTGCCAAATCAATACATTACAATTAGGATAGTTACTATTTGCACCAGCTGTTTCTTTTTTCGTTTTCTTTGACAGGATGCAAAGATCTTGAAAACTTTCTTGAAAAAGATTTATTAGGCTACTAAACTTGATCACGAGTGTTGCATTATGATATGGTCTACATACTTGGCACAAAATTCTTATGCATTTACATATCTCACAACTAATCTTAAATAAATAGAGGAAAATTTACGAACTTAGCACACATTTCTTATGTATTTTCATATCTCACATACTTACATATCTCACACCAAATCTTTCATACTGACATACATCACACTTAGACTCTTTAAAACTATGAATGAAAAGTTGGATTTCACTTTTAAAATGTGATAATAGTACAGTTTTTGATATGATATTAAACATTTGAGTGCTGTGTGTGAATATCAAATTTTAGGTGTGAGAAATATAAATATATAACAATTGTGTGCAATGTATGTAAATGCTCCAAAAAAAAAATAATAATATCCCGCTCAACATGACGACGAAGCACATTTTGAGAAAACAGAAATCTGATTAATATATACGGCATCAACTTCACATATTCTATTACATTTTAAATTTTCATAGCACACAAATTTATTTGCATGGTTATATGCCTCCCTCGAACATTAAGTTCCCCACTGATTGAAGGGATTGATTCAGAGGCAGTTTGCATGGCTGATCTCCGTCACAATGGAAAGATATGTAGTTGATCAAGTCTCCAAGTGCTCAATCATGCTTTACAGTGGTCCTTATTTTCAAATACCCTCGATGTTGGTCTCCAGCATTTTGCTAGTACACAGATCGGTCTTTTAGGATCAGTTATTGATCCTTACAAAGAGCCTTTCTTGTTAAAAATGTAATTTTTTATTAATTTAGCTCATATAACACAATTTTTTCTTTAAATTTAAATCCTAGAAAATTTTTAACAAAAATGCTCTTATTTAGAGTACCAGATTAATTCCTAACATACAATTCAAGTCTAAATAAAATCCATTTTATATTTGTGTAATCACCTTCAAGTAATTTAGAAATTTGTGTAAGGTCATTGATTCAAGGTAAGCCCCCTAAGCTAAGTCATGACGAGTAACTTTCAGCACTCCAAACCAATCTAGTATAGTTGCCCATCTTTGAACAAAGTGGAGATCAAGACAAGCAGAACAATTTAGAAGCATACTAATTAAATCACGGGAACAAATTCAAGAACAAATAAAAGTTTAATATTTAGGAAGACCTCTGGATAAGCAAGAGATTCCATCAAAGTTGAATATGAAGAATAAGCCAAGTCTGTTTCTGCAAACCCAAAAGAGAATATGTAAGCATACAGTTCATTCAATATCATAAAGAAGAATAAAACAACACCATATTGTAATGCTAATATGAAGAATTTAAGATGTACCTGAAATATTCGAACTACTTATAAAAGTAAAAGCGGGTTCCCCAATGAAGAATCAAATGGAAGTCAAAATCAATCAACTTCATTTCAACAGAGTAATTTTGTACAGGACCTTGAGGTTTACTTTACCAAAAATGATCTCAAACCTACAAAACACATATTTAATTGTACAAAAATTTCAAACATCTGATTATGCATATTAAGGTTAGTTTCCAGGGAACCCCTAATTGTCATATAGTTAACCATGTGCCATCAAATCTCGCCGTGTCAATTCTCCCAAAAACTGCCGCTTTCCTTTTTGTTAAAGTTATTTGGGGTGTAAATAAGCCAGGCCAGGCATCCCACTGCTTAAGGTCATCTATTTTGTTTGGCGTCATCCTTTGCTCCAGTTCGAACATAACTAAAATAACATTAAAGCAGATTCTTTCTAGAAAACTCTTACCTACTTTCAATCTTTAATGAGTCAAGAAAAATGCAGGTTACATAAGAATGAAATAGTATAACATCAATATCTAGCAAAACTTTATTAATCTTCATAATTTTTGATGTACTTCAATATGCAAATTTCTTTAAGAATTGCAAAATTTAATACATCACCATAATAGAATATATATAATTTGTTATTGTGCTAGATTGGAAAATTAACTATCATTTGTTTTCATTAGATGTCATTACTACATAACACATTCCCTTGATTAAGATTATTTTTGATATTATTTGTAATATTTTGTTACTTGTATTAGCCCGTATATAGGCACCAAGTACTTTGAGCATACGTACAAGAAATTTTAATTATGATCTTAACATAGTTTACAATTACCCCCTAGTAATCAATATCCTTTCTCATACCCTTGTGATCTTATCCTTCCTAGTCCTTTGCCAAAATAGATCAAGTGTTGTTGACATCACCTAGCCCGACATCGCTTATGCTCCTTGAATGAAATCGTCTGCAATATTCACACGTGCTTGCTGTCCATAGATTCATCTGCATACTGACCACACAATTCTAGTAAAGTTTGTCACAGTCATGCTGCAAACCAACAATCTCTCTACCATCTCTAAGGGTTTGTTTGGGGCAGTTGTAGCTTATCCAGCTTATCCTGATAATCTGCTGATCAGCAGATGATCCAGATAAGCTGTCTGGCTATCTGGTTTGTGCGTTTGGAAAACAACTGATTCTAAATAAATGATCATTCTGCCACTGTTCTAGATAAGATATTTAACTGTTTGGTTTGTGCGTTTGAAAAAACAACTGGTTTGCAGTTTTTTATAGGTAAAAGATCATTCAAACATTATAAATCTTAATTTTCAAAAAATTATTTTTAAATTGTGTAAAATAAATTATAATCAATAATTTACATTTAACACTAATTTTTAAATAAATCAGTTAAATTTTGCATTATTAACAAAATTACATGTCGCAACACTTAAAATATATAAGCTAAGTGAATCATTTTTTTTTCTATTGCGTACTATCTAACAAATAAAATTTAATTATATAAATTTACGTATATTTGAAAAGTTGTGGTATATTTTAAAAACGTTAGTATTAATATTTTGTATGTGATATATATTTTTTTTAATATTATAGGAACATTAAAATGTTGGTGAAACAAAGAAGTCTTTTCAGAGAGAGAATAAGAAGAAAGTAAACTTAAACAGAAGAAAAATATGCAGGGGGAGTTGAAGAAACTGAAGTGAAAAACTTCTTATAATCATTACTTTATTACACAATTAGCACAAAGTACAAACACACATATATATTTGTTGTATGACAAATTTGTAATTTCATAACAGTACAGAATTTTGATGTTCACTTCACATAACATAGAGTTCAAGATAGTAAATTAAAACCAAAATACATATTGAAACTACAATTAGTAATAGGATTATAACATTCAATTTAAAATAACATCTCATGAGAACCGTTGTTCGGTTGGTGCATGATCGAACCACGAGCAACATTATTCGGTTGGGAAACACTCGAACCACAAGTGATGGTCTCCGATTGTGACATCGTGGAACCTCGTGCATTATTGTCCGAATGGGATAATGTAGAATTTGAAGGGTTGTCTGCCCACCTGAAGAAGCCACAGTCGTCTGGTCCGTGTTTCCACCTCGTCCACCTATAGAACTGTCACCCGTAACTATGTTGTCAGCGTGACGTGAGTAGCAAGGACGACATTCCGTAGCGACACATCACTTGCCCGGACTTTCCTGAATACCTAGAGCTCATCGTCCTACAATTATTAAAAAAAGAATATGAGTCAAAAAATTTATGAAATAAAGAAATTGTACTCACTAAAGTGTGGAGGCAACAGTTGCAGACAATAAAGTTCTGTGGCCATCCAAGCTGCTCCACAGTTGGCAAATTAAATACAAAACTCATTAATTTTATATAAAGAAGAAGCAAAACCACTTAAATGCTGCAACATCACTATTTCAGAGATTGCCAAATTAAATACAAAACTCATTTATTTACCAGAAAGATTTTATATCATTTTAACTTTCCCAAGTGAACACGTTTTCATGCATACACGAGATAATAGGTCGGATGGTATGATTGCAAAAAAAAAATCAAATTTAAATATTAGATATGTAAAAATGCCTAAATTGTAAGGCATGTTTGTAAATTTTCCAACTTAAAAAAATGCGCTTGTATTCTCATGCAAACAAATCCATCAACAAGGCTCAAATGATTAGAGTGCTTGAAATTGTGTACGCCACTTGCAACTAAACAGCCCCTAGGAGGAATCTCCTCAAGCAGCAGCATAATAGCTTCTCTTTTAATATTACTTCCACCAAAACTATCACTGTAACGATAGCACAACAGTATAAAATATCTATTTTGAATGTTTCATAACAACTTCTCTTTTTATATACATACCACACCAAATTCCTATGTATTTACATAACTAATAACTTTACTTTTTTACTTTTTTAGATTTATATCACCCGAACCTTTCATTTCATCACTAGTTTAGCATGAGCAAAATGGTCACCACCAATTTACTGATATGAAACAATATTTCTATACATCTCACTTGAAAGGTGCATCAGATTATATTGTGCTTCGACATTTAAAAATTTTCACAATCCCAAAAACATAGAAATGAAAACATAACAGTAAATAGTACATAAAATTTCTAATATAAAAAAATGACAGGGTCATTTACGATTGACTGATGCATCCTCTATTTAAAATTTCTAACATAAAAAATGATAGGGTCATTCACGATTGACTGATGTCATCCGCTATTTAAAATTTCTACCATAAAAAATGACAGGGTCATTCATGATTGACTGATGTCATCAGCTATTTTTTCTCGCAAAGAAGCCATCTCTGATGCACCTTCACCCTCTCGAATGTATAGATCGTGTGAATCCATTTCTTCCTGTGGCATGGTAAGTCCCACATGGTATTTGAATGCTTCAAGTGGGATCTGAAGCAAATCATCTTCTATGACGGTAAATTCTGCATCCGATCTGGAGTGGTGTCGTCGAATGAAATTGTGTAGTATCAGAATCCCACTACTATCTGTATTTGTTTCAGAAATGGGTAAGCCGGGCATATCACGTAATATAACTCACTTCTTTTTCCACACTCCGAAAGCTCTTTCGATTACGCCATGCAAGGACAAGTGTCTTATTGTTAAATAATTCATTCTTACCTCGTGCTACCCCGTTTGATCTTTCAAATTGGGAATGTGGTACTTCGTATCTGGATAAAGCTTCAGATACTCCCTTTGTAAAAGATATCTGACGTCGATCAAGTAGTATTTACCAGTTCAATTACAATAATTAGAAATCGAAACAAAATACCAAACATAGTTGCTGTAGATAATCACCCGGAGATGGGTACGGGAAACCATGTCTATGGTTTCTAGTAGCAAACTTGAAAACACGTCTATCGCGCGAGCTCCCTTCTCATCCAGCCATCACAAAGGTAAAACATATGTTAAAATCACACACGACCATAACATTTTGTGTGGGGGAGCCTCACCGTCCGATGTACGCAACCTTCTCTATAATAAATAGGTGTGCATCGACGTGTGTTCCATCAATAGCTCCAATATAGTCCTAAAGTTACAGTTATAACCCTTCAGCAATTGTCATGTATATCAATTTCATGTACAAATGTTATGTTAAAAACATACCTTAAAGAATAACATGTATCGAGGGTTATTTGTAATTTGTGAATGAATAGATTGGAATGTTGCATCCTCAAGCTTAACTACCTTACAGGTCAAACTCACCAGAGAGTTCAAACCGAATGCGAAATACCTGCTGATGGTTTCTGATGAATGTTAGAATCGTTCCATAGCTCTTTTAATGAATTCATTCTGAGATAAGATGCATAGGGTTATTGCCAACGTTTCTCTTGACGTTGTTCTTGCTGAGCAGTCAAGAAATATTCATTTCGTCATACGAAACATATTGAAGAACCGTGTGGGGTGGCCCCGTAATAACTCACCTGCCTATCTATCTCCAATCTGACTCGACGTCATACAAGGGATTTGGTCGACATTTGTAAGATAGTAATAATACAACAAAATAATGATTACTGCGACTATGCGGATGTGGATAACTTGTTCTCCGTCTATACTACAAAATAAGGACAAAGATAATTTATAAACTTGATAAATAAAAACACCAGAAAATTGTGGTGAAACATAGAAGGTACAATGGTAGAAAACAAAATCAGTGCATAGTACAATATAAGACATGGTATTGTACCACCATGAAAAAAGATAAAGTGTCCATGACAGAAATATCAAACAAAGCTATAGAAAATAAAATGCATAATACCTTAAACAGTCAATCATCCAAGAAAGAGCTTAAGTATTTGAGTCGGAATTCTGGTTCCAACTTTATAAAAAACTATCTTATGGTTGGG